AATCCAAGTTGTGAGTATTCTGCTATCTTTGTGAAGGCCAGAAGAGAAGTTCATTTGGCACGAGGAGAAAAATGGTAACTATTCTATTAGATTAGCTTATCATTTTCTTGTTGCAAAAAGAGCCTCAAGCACAACAGGTCCCTCAAGCCCTCCATAAAAAAACTTGTGGAAGAAGATTTAAACAACCCTGGTGCATATAAAAGTCAAGAATTTTATGTGGCGGCTTGCAAAAAAACATACTTCCAACCTATCCAAACATGGAGAAAAAAGTATCAAACTTGATTGTCCATGCCTTCTTTGCCTTTCCACATCATAATCAACTCAACACTTGTTCATGTGTTTTCCAGTTACAAAAATGGTTTGATTTTCTTCATTAATTGACATTAGGGTGTCCAAGAACGTGGATATAAGGGACTGGCTAGGATTCATTTTATCCATGAATGATATTTTGGGAATGAAAATGATGTGTATTGCTTTGTTACGAGTATGAAATGGAAGGATTCAATGACTTTTCAAGAAAGTGCAGTTCAAACCGCAAACAGTGACGTTAAATGTTTGTGAATTTATGTCTAAATTCAATGGTGTGAACCCGAGTTTGCGTGCGAAGAAGAGGGCAATAGTGCAGGATGATCAGGTGACACATGATACTAGGGTCGGAGCCAAAAATTTTAAATTATAGGGGTAAAATTCATACTAAAAATATAACATATTGCTCATCAATAAATATTATAATCATTTTTTATAAATTTTAATACTTTAAAAATATAAGACAATGTTTGATGTAATATATTTTTGAATTTATAATAAACTAAACACCCTAAACTAAACTAAAGGACTAAAATAAATTTTCATTTTTATTTTTGTTAAAAAAATGTCCACTTTTAAAAATAATTTTAAAATACAATTTTCCTAAATATAAAATTGGGCCGATAATGGGCCTACGCTTAATTTCTAAGAAGATACAGGAAGGACCCGATCCATACATATCTCACAAGTTATACAAATTGTGTGAACAAAAACCCTAGCGGCTTCCCTCATTCTCTATATAAACACCACACACTCATCTCTGTGCAAACACCGATCTCGCGTTCCTTTTATTTTTTCTGTTGTGAATTTCAACGTTGTTTATTCAATTTTCATTAATATAGCATATATCAGCACCTTCTCCAATTATTGATTAGTTTATCTTATTTTCTTTTTCATATGAAACGCAAGTTAGCTTCTTGATTGAACTCTGTGTATTCTACGGTTCAATCAACGTCTGAATTAGATTTCAATCTGATCTTTCAGACCATTTCAATCTGATGCAGGCTCACTCGTCTGAATTTGATGATGAGTCCGATCCATTCACAATCTTAACGACATATCGAGGCCGAGAGAATTTCACTCGTCTTTTACTATTTTCATTTTTAATTACTGATTTTCATTTTTAATTTAGTTATATATGTTTTTTAGTTTTAGGCATGGCATGATGATGATATCAGTGAACCTTTCCATATGATTAATCACATGATTAAAATATCCTCCTACTCATTCTGAATGCCATTGCCTTCAATTTTTAATTTTATCTTAATTTAACAAATTTTTTTGATTTAATTATCTTTTTTATAATATCCTCTGAAAATGCATAGGTACACTTTGGCGGCGATGATGAGAGTGATAATATCATTTATTTGAGTTCTCGATGATTATCTTTCAAGCACTTTTGAGCCACCGTTTTCTCTTTATACTAATAAGTTTTCAAAATACTTTCACTATTTACTGATACTATTGTGAGCATTATTTTCATTTGGGAGTTTTATACTTTTATTAGGCCTTAACCCGTGAGGATTATTTCCATTTGGGAGTTTTATTAGGCCTTAACCCTTGAGTTTTAATGGCCCATATTTGTAAGAGATTTTATTCTGTTATTATAGTAACAAAAATATTTTTGATAATATAAGATCACTGTTATAAAAAATAAAATAAAAATCAATTTGTAAATATTGGATGTTTTAGAAAAATCTGATATGTTTAAAAATAAAATCTAGTACAAAATATAACAAAATACTATATTTTTTAAAAAACATATAAAAATTTATTCTAATTTTTTAATATAAATACACACAATTCTCCTCTTGTGAAAATTTTTGTACTGAATGTTCCAAAATTACTTTGAATTTTTAATTTCTTTATTAGTTTTACAAACTAATTTTTATTTTATTTTTTTATAACGAGTGATTTATATAATCAATTGCAGCATCTCATTTTTTGTTGAAAGTGTTTGGTTTATTATTCACTTGTTGTGATTTTCTCTATGATGATGAACAATTGATGACGAGTCTGATCCATTCAAAATCCTGACGACATATCGAGGCATTTGTCTGAGAGAATTTCACTTATCGTTTACTATTTTTATTTTTAATTACTTATTTTTATTTTTAATTACTTATTTTTATTTTTAATTGTTTTATATAGATTTTTTAGTTTTAGGCATGTCATGATGATGATATCAGTGAACCTTTTCATATGATTAAACATAGGATTAAAATATCCTCCTACTCATTCTGTTTGATGTAATTATCTTTTCTATAATTTCGTTTGGAAATGTCGAGGTACACTTTGGCGGTGATTAGGGCTGGACAATGGGCCGGGTTTGGTGCTTTTGGGCCCAAAAGCCACACCCACCTCAACCCGCTGTTTAGATATGTAAGCAAATTTCTGCCCATTTCCGCAATCGGTATGGACGGGCTGGGTAAGCGCGGGTTAATACAAACGGTTTAATTGGGTTATTGAGTTGGTTTTTATATTGAGTCCAATAACACATTTTGACCTATAATTTAATTTCAACTCAAATCTAAATTACTAAATACTAAATTCCAACATAAATCCAATAAACTAAACATAATTCTAGCACTAATACAAAATATAATCCAACATAATATGATTATAACAAATTACTAAAACTTAAATAATAATGAAGTGTTATAATTCTGGCATTAATATAAAATAAATCCAGCATAACATAGTTCAACTTGAGATTAACTTGAGATTGCAAAGTTGAATATTGGAGATGCCTGCAATAATATTCATAAAAGAAAGTAGATTATTCAATGGAGATGCCTTCAACTTTGAGTAAAACAAAAGACAGAGGAGTAACACACTACATAAATGATAGCAGATTTACTAACATCTCCTTTTCCTTTCTTAAACACTGTATTCTACAATCTTTGACTCACTAAACACCTATGATATAGGGAGATAAAAGGAAGTTGGGAATATGCTAAACATTTGAAAGAAAAGGATGAGACTAGATACAAGATAATTTAATCTAATAATGAATAAGTCGTTATAGAAATGACTAATATTTTCTTCCTGATTACTACTACTATCTACATTCTTGAAGTACATGATACATGTTCAAGGTTCATCACTGCTGCTTCAAATTTCAGTAATATAAAAGTGACTGAAAAATCACATTTCAGGGACGACACAACACCCTTTCAATCAACCACCCAGAGAACAGTTTTATCTTGAAAAAAAGTTGTGTATCGTGTGATAGTAATTCATGAGAAATATACATCAACTTTCTGATATAAGACAGTTACTAATGTTTTGTTATAACTATTTGCATCTCAAGGCTTTTATTATTCCATGGGGAAGGATTCTAATTAGATGCGGAACAAAGTCGAACAAGTTTGAAGCAAAATGAAGATCAACATGAAGAAAGAGACAAAATAGTGATCAACATGAGGTAATAAAAACCTTTGGAAGAGAATAGAATGCAGATTTAATCTGCACGACAATTAATATAATCACTTAAATATTAATTTTCACTTTCGATTCAAATTCAACAGTGTGAGTTTTATGCTATCAACGGGAACAATGTAACTGCAATTGCAAAGAGAGTATAAAAGCAAATTACTAGCATTTAGCAGTGTCACTTAATATCAAATTTAATTGTAACCGCAGTTTTATGCTATCAAATTTAACAGTGTCACTTAATATTTGCAACGACACTTAATATAATCACTTAACCATTTAAATTACTAGCATAATTTTTAGGTCCAGAATTATAAAAGCAAAGAGAGTATACCTTGTTAGTGACTCTATGTAACTGCAATTGCAATCAAAAGCTATTCTTCACGCTGAGCTCTGCTGGTGGAATTGAGAGAGATAGAATTGTTTGACATGGACAGATCTGCAACAAGCACACAGAGGAAGATCAGAAAATTTACGCATAGAGAAGCATCAGAGAAGAAAAAGCAACATAAGTTCATAACGGCACCAACGGAAACAATGCATAATTCATAACAACACCAAAATTACAACATTGGAAATTGAAAGCTGGAACCTTACCTCCATATCCAAAAGTGAAACTCCAACATAACCAAAACTACATACCCTCTATATCCAAAAGTTGTGCATCACAAAATTCAAAGTGAAAGACCTGCATATCAATATAAACTATTGTTAAAATGAAAATCACTACAAGTAAATACTATATTGAAAAAAGAACATTCAAAAGCAACATACAAGACTTGAAATTGACTAAACAACTACTACAAGAAGTAAATACCATATTGTAAGAAAGATCTGATGAAAAGCGGAGCTTGCAATTGGATCCACCTCTAATGACAAGTCCACCACTTCAAAAGCTCAAATTTAACGCTGTTTACAACAGCTTTCAAATGCAAAAAAAGGTGCACACAGAATAAAAAATGGTTACGAAGTGAATAACGATAATGTGGATAGAATAAGGAGAAACTTAAAATGAAAAGCCCTTTAACAAAAATCAAACTTTTGAAACATAGCTGCAAGTGTAACAACAAATACTGGAAGAATTCATCAAACTAGAGGGTGAAGGGTTTAAAATCATATTTATAAAGACAACATATATTTAATCAACTGCCATTGTTTTCAAAATGTCATTGTTTTAATTAAATACTATTTGAGGATATCTGGTATTCACTATTCACACTAGAAAATGATACAAGAAAGTAAAAATTAATGATAAAAACTTATATATCAGCTTCTGGCTGCAGCTGGTGAATTGATATTGATGGTTCCGAGCTCAATATTGGCGTTTTGAACGGCTCACGAAGCCGAAACTTTGCATATAAAGGTTCTCTATTGAACTCTGCCTTTTTCAGATATACAACACCAATAGATCTAGATATCTGCAAATGTAAAAAACATGTAAGATAAAATGACGTCGTAAATGAAGAAGGGACAATCCAAACGTCCAAGTCGAGCTAATACTGGACCAATCCCTTACTTGTACTAGACCCTTGACACGCCATACATTATGCCTCAAAACAACAATGTTTGAATCGTCGGGGTGCATAGATTGCAGTTCGTGTCTTATTGACTATATAGCTGCATTATGTTCTGTTGACAATTGCCCAGCTAAAACCTCCCCGGTTGCTTTGACTGCTCTTCCCAAAACTGCTCGGGAATCACCGAGATTTGCTATATAAAGAGTTCCATTGCATATTACACCGACAAGACAGCAGGATCCAACCGATGCAATTTGTGGCTTCATGGACCATTGTTTGGTAACAAGAGACATAAATCCGTCTTTTGTTGCTTGGATTGCCTTGCGAATTACGTCCGCCGACATTGACTGCTGCTCTGCAGTAAACCCTGAAATTTAATAAGCTCATAACTTCACTGCAATTCTACTCTAAAGAAACTAGCTTCACTTTAAGTGCATGATTCATAACAACATTTCATTTATTTAAACAATCACATTTAATTCAAACATTCAGAATTCATCAAATACACATCATATCAACAATTATATAAAATATATGCAATGCCAAACGTATATTCAGTTAATACACTTACAATTACCTTGATCCATTCCACTTTGACCTTGGTCCATTCCACTTGGTTAAAGAAATTGTGTACTGTAAAACGCAAACGAGTTAAATTCATTAAGTTACAGGGGCAGCAAAATAGATAAAATTGTGTACTGTAAAATCAATTTTCAAAGTTAGAGTTAGAGAGAACTGAGACATTCATAGAAACAAAACAACAACATAAATTAAAAAATCAAACCCTAATCACATGTAGAGTGAGAGAACTAGTTCAAAGTGTTTAATCACCTGTAAACAACAACAATGAGTGTTTAATCATAAACCCTAAACTAAAAATCTTAGATTCAGAAACCCTAAATTAAAAATCCTAAATTCTAACTCTAAGTTTGAAAACATTAGAGAAAATTAAACCTTTGTGAAGAAGTGGAACGAGAGAGTGAAAGATCTGGGAACGAAAAAGTGAGAAAAATGAGGAACAAATAAGTGAGATGGAATGTTGGGGAGTCTGGGATGGAAACATGGAAGGAAGGAACCAGAGCGTGAGAGAAATGAGGAAAGAATTTAGTAAAGAAAGAGTATTACCCCCACCCCACTTTAAACGCATTGTTTAGTAATTGGGCGGGTCTGGGTACCCGTGGGTCTGATTTTAGTACCCGGCCCGCCCATTGGAACCCACTTTAACCCGGGTTTGACAACCCGCTTAACCCAACGGGCCTATCTAACCCGCCTAAACTCCTTCTTTTTCCGGTTTGCACCGGATTGGGTCGGGTATGCGGGTGTTGTCCACCCCTAGCGGTGATGATGAGAGTGATTATATTATATATTTGATTTCTTGATTATTATCTTTCAAGCAATTTTATTTTGAGCCATCCACCGTGTTCTCGAGGATTATCATTCAAGGCATTTTTGTTTCATTGGCATTTTTACTTCCAGAAAAGGACTCTGTCAAATTTCGATATTTGATTTCGTTATTATTATCTTTCAAGCAATTTTGAACCACCTATTGTTGTTTTTGATGATTATTGTTCAATTGTTCTTGATGATTATTGTTCAAGGCATTTTTGTCTCATTGGTATTTTTACTTCCAGAAAAACTCTGTTCATTCAGTGGACTCAGATTTCGGTGGAAACATGGGGCTTCTGCTCAAAGTCTGGTGTCAAGTTAAAAATTAAACTTGTAAGTAAGACATACTGCATAAATAGTCAAAAATTGAGTAAAATATGCAAGAGAATCATCATGATCTAAGACTGCAAAAATGAGCATTCTGAACTGCCATCAAAGGTAAAAAAATTCAAGAAAAATAATAGGTGACACGATGCAGTCAACAAAGGCCGTGTCAAGTGACACGGGTGGTTGAGTAAGACTACTGTTTTCTTTCTAAAAACTCTTTTGAATTCGTGTTTTTTTTTTGTTTTTGCTCTGATTTGTCCTGAATGCTTACTTGAACCTAAAAACATTGGAAAGACACAACCAAATCATTAGAAGATATGCTTCCATCTAAAGGTAGGTGAATAAATAACACATTTAAAATTCAAACTTTTGGCAAAAATGGTTTTCAAAAGTTTTATGGCACAATAGAGACAACACAAATCAAACCATCTAACTGAACACAATTGAATGATAACGAACACAAATTATTTAACAACCATTAATTCCAACACAATCAAATTCTAAGCTATACTTAGAGATTATTTACAATTATCAAAAACTAATTAGAAACATAGTAATTTATCGAACACTTTGTGTGTGATTGATAACATTTGAAAATTTAATTTTTTTTTTTTTATGTTAAAGTCAATCATAATCAAGGTGATTATGATTATATCAACAAACCTTAATTTAAAATGTAATAAAAAATTGATTTCCAAACGAATTGATCAAAATAACAACAAATTTGAAAATTTGCAAATACAAAAATTAAAGAGATAGAGAGAGAGGAAGAATTTGTTTAAATAGTTCCCCAATCAGCCTTGCTATGGGTACATTTACCCTCAATTCGATTTCGAATTGAGAAATCGAATTGAGATTGAATTAACCTTACTTTGCAAAAAATGTATATACAAGAGATGAAGAACTCTAACCTTGCAAACTCTATGGTTTGTTATTGATTTTGCCACCTCTAAAACCCTTGATCAAAGATTGATTAAGTCATCAACAATGCCGCTTCAACTCATCAGTTCTTATTACTACCTTGCAAGACCTTCTGTCTCAAGGTTTTCACTCGGTTGAATTAAATCCAAGCGCACTTGTTGAACCCAAGTTTTACGAACACGATCCGTTGTCTCACATTATTCCCTTGCAAGGAACCACCTCGTCCAAAGGCCTTCACTCTATCGGATCCATATTTGCGTAATCTTGTCCAAGACCTCAAGGATCTTGAAGGAAAATAGCAACTTGAATTTCTTATTTGAAACACTCAAAGAACTCAACCCAATATTCTCGGTACACCAACCTAATTAGACGTTACCAACCCTAATCTAGATGGTTATCCCATCAAAAAAATGATTATGTGTAGTTTTATTGTGTGTATGCATAGAAGAGAGGTTGAAGATGATGAGTATCATTTGAAATTCTGATTTCGCATAGGTTTTACACTAGAACCTTACTTGAAAAAAATGCATGTATAAGTATATATATGTATGAGAGATATGAAGCAAATGGCATGCATGAAAAATTGAAAGGTAAAATAAAATTTCAAGATTTGAAGGCAATAGGTCGACCTATTTGAGACGAAATATGGATAGTGGCTACAACTGTCGTTATTAAGAAATGGATGTCGACCTGAACAAGCTGTGTGTTGACCTATTCTAAAGCAAAGGATTTTATAAGTCGACCTAAAAGCGTGTGTGTCGGCCTATTCAATATTTTTCATACTAAAAACCCATTTTTGATGCATGGAGCTTGCCTAAGACATTTCCAATCATTTCTAAACATATTTATATGCACCCTAATGCCAAGATGACACATGCACGCCTAGAATTTGGTCGATACTGTCCAATGTATAAAGACGCTAAAGTTGCTCTTATTTTGACATCATTCAAAACACCACTAAATAGTAAGATGCACTTACAATTCGTATTACAAATATCTTTATCATTGAACTTTGTGATTATGTTGTGTGTTTTCTCATCGAATCACTTTGGGCTAAGACTGAGACTAGGTATGAACAAAACTAAGTAAAAAAATTAACTTTTTTTGTCCTGTCAAGTAGTCTAGTGGCTAGAATTCACCTTTTAAAGTAAAGATGAACAAAGTGGCATAATGCGGATTTGAACTCACGTCCCTGCACTTGATGTCCTTATACAATTACTAATTAAACCGACTTAATTAGATAAAAAATACAATAATTTCAATTTATGTGTAGATTAGTTCATCTTAACTTTTTTCATTAATTTTAACATTAATTATATTAATTTTATCATTTTTCAAGAAGAAAATTTATTAAATATATATACGAGATAACTAACTTTTAATTAATCAAGTAATAATAAAATTAATAGATAAAATTTATAGTTAAAACCTAAACTAATTAATATCAATATTATTAATTAAAGTATAAATTTCAAATTTAAAACTAAAAAAAAAATATGATACCTAAGATTGTTACCTAATTTTTAATCTTTTAGGCCGACCCTGTCAAAAACTAACAAGGAAATAAAATTATATAAAAAAGGTATAAATACAAAGAATGAATGAATATACAATATTAGAAATTTATAAAAGTTTATCAAAGATGAAGTGATAAAGAGGCATTTAATAACCATTAATATTTTATTTTATGAAGAGTTTCTTACAACTCCGTGGTTGCAAAAAGATAATTAATTGAATAAAACAGAGCATAAGGTTAAAAAAAAAAAAAATCAATTCCTATGGTTAATTTTGTTATAAACCTCAAAACAATGTGTTTAGCTTCTAATATTTGAGAATTAAAAAAAAATTATTTTTAGTCTTTGACGTGTGATTCAATAAAATCATCTTACAAAACTAATAAAATGAATGAGTTACCATTATGATTTTGAGTTTATATTTTTACTTGCGGTCAGCATTGATGTAATAGATGAGTTTTATTTTATATAAATAAAATAAAAACAACATTTAGTTATAAATAAAATACAAAATTGTATGTGTTTGAGAATTAAAACTCGAGATCTGCATTTGACCAAAAATAAATACAAATTTACAAAAACAAATATTATTGGACTATTCAATCAAATAAATATTGTTTTTTAGTTTAAAATAAATCTTCATATAAATATATAAATGCTCTATTTTTAAATAATGTGATACTTAAATTTGATAAATCATCATATAAGATTTTGTTAAATATTATAGATAAAATATATAATTTTTAAAAACTAATATTTCATTAATTTGTAATATAAAAAATAAAATGAAAATGAAAATTGTTTAAATATAAAAATAAAATAGAGAGTATAGTGAATCTGGTAAAATAGATAGACAAAAACTTTAATGTAATCAATTTTTTATATTATCTATTAAATAAAAAGTTATCTTAATTATATCTCATGAAACTTATTTTAATGAAAAATCATGTAATTTTATGTTAATTCTTATAATTATTATATTAAAGTCACATTACTCTTTTAATTTGTAACAAATAATATTAAAATCACTTGTTAAAAATGTAATAAATTCTTATATCGAACATCTTTATAATATATTATTTATTATTTATATTAATTGACATTTGTAAAATTGTATTACGAAAAATTGATATGCCAACAAGTTAAGAGGCTATTCATGTTATTATAATTTAGGGAAATGCTAATCAGTGCCCTCAGGGCACTTTTTAAAACTTTAAATAGTAAGTTTTTATAAAAGTATGTGCAATGATGTGTAATAATGTGCACTGGAAATTGAAGTGTTTGAATTTTTTAAAGAATAATTTCTTAATATGGAATGTTTAAATAGTGCCCTGAGGGCACTGGTTAGCAAGACCCTATAATTTATTATGTATATACTGAAAAGACAGCTTTAGAAAGAAAAAAAATGAAATGGGAACAATTTTACTGTTTCAAGGTCAGATAACTAGTTTGGTATAATTGGATTTTCAAAAACCAATTTGGCGTGAGATTGGATAATTGGATCTTCAAAAAACTGATTTGAAATTGGATACTGATTAACATATATATGGATCTGGATTTCAGATTAGATAAATTGGTTTATACATGGATGATAAACTGATTTTACAAATGGATAACTGGATTTCTAAAACAGATCTGGTTCTAAATTGGACAAACTGGTATGAAGTAATGAATAACTGGTTTTAAATTGGATAACTGGTTTAAAATGGATAATTTGGTCTGAAATGGATAACTAGATTTAAAAAAACAGAGCTGGTTTGAAAATGGATATCTTGTCTGAAAATGGATAACTGGTTTAAAATAGATAACATAATGAATATTGGATAACTGGATTAATAATGGATAAACTGGTTTTAAGTTGGATAACTGGATTAATAATGGATAACTGGATTTCTAAAACAGATCTGGTTCTAAATTGGACGAACTGGTATGCAGTAATGAATAACTGGTTTTAAATTGGATAACTGGTTTAAAACGGATAATTTGGTCTGAAATGGATAACTAGATTTAAAAAACAGAACTGGTTTGAAAATGGATATCTTGTTTGAAAAAGGATAACTGATTTAAAATGGATAACTGGATTAATAATGGATAAACTGGTTTTAAGTTGGATAACTGGATTTAAATTGGATAAAACTGTTTTGAATTGGATTGGATAATCCAATTCAATATTATCCAGTTACTGGATTAATAACGGATAACTGGAACTGGATAGATAACGGATAACTGGTTTGCAATGGACAAACTGGATTTCAAGATTGGACAAACTGGTATCCAGTTGTCCATATAAAAACCAGTTTGAAATATAACTGGATTTTCAAAAATCGAAGTGGTTTAAAATTGAAAAAGTGGATTTTCAAAAACCGAACTTTTCAAGATTGTAATATGTACCAAACTGGTTAACCCGACTTACAAACAGTTCAAATAATTGGATTTAAACTGATCTAGTTAGAAACCAGTTTTAAGATCTGAAACAGTGAACTGGAATAACAACTTAATCACTAGGTTATAAGAACCAACCAGAACCGAACCGGTTTTTGGAGAGTTATCTGAACTAGATTTAAGAAACAAACTGGTTTTAAAATCTGAACAGTATGGAATAGTTCTGGAACAGACTAGCCCGCAATTCATGCTATCTCAATTTATTGAGCAGCCATTAAATTGGCTTTTGAAACAAACTGGTTTTTTGATAATGCAAAAAATAGCCATTAAATTGGTTTTTGACCTCAAATCTAAAGAAATAAACAAATCTAAATTCATCAATAAAATTGAAAATACATGAAGATGAAAAAGAATCGGCGACTGAAATCACCATCGAATAATTGTCAGCCGCGTACAACAACATTGAAATCACCATCGGCGACGTTGTTGCATATGAAGAAATTGAAACCCTAAAATCAATATAAAATACATTTGAAAACGGAAAAATCGTTTTGATGGTATATTCATGATCAAAGAAAAGGAGAAAAATCTTCTTTTGTTTTATATAAAGTCTCTTTATTCAAAAAAAAAATGAAGAGAAAATAAAAAAGAAAGGATTGGAGAGATAAAAAGACGGGTGAAAAATACAGAGACGGATGGTGAAACCCTAACTTGCTCTGATTCACATATAAATGCTATTCTCCATTCTTTCGGGCCTCTTAGAGCATAAATATCAGTCAAATATTCATGGTTCTACACAGTTTACAAAGTGTTGCATGTCAGTATTAATGGATATTTGATAAAATATTAAAGTTCTACATGTGCCAACGTTGGCTGATTTGCTAACGTTCTACAAGTGCCATGCTGGACAAGAATAATAAATACTGGACAATAATAATAAATGTAACGGTAATATTTTCTTTTGATGGAATAATTCAACGGTAATATTTCAATTGCATGCCAATATTAAATTAAAATATTTTAATATTAAATTGAAATACTTTGTAACGGTAATATTTTAGTAAATAATTTAATAATTTAATAATTTAAATAATTCAAAGGTAATATTTTAGTAAATAATTTAATATTAAATTGAAATATTAAATTGTAACGGCTATAAATTAATCACTATATTATTTATATTTTAGTAAATAATGGCAATATTTATCTCATAAATAGGTTATTAATTTATTAATATTTTAAACTAATCACTATATTATCTATAAATTAATCACTATAATATTTATATTTTAATTTATTAATAAACTAAAGGTAATATTTTTCATCCTTATAAATAGGTTATTAATTTTACTACAATTTTCATTTACAACTAGTCTAACTTTGAAGTATTGAATTTATCTCATCTTAATTTTTTTCTTCTACACATTTATTTGTCAATGGATCCCAATCAACATAACCCTTGGTCTAATTTTATGCAAAATAGTGGTAGCCCTCCTTCTATTCCAAATCAACAAAGTAATCCATATTTTAGAAATACATCTTTTATCTCAAATTCACACCATAATCCAAATTTTCAAAACTCACCTTTTATCCTAAATCCACAAAATAATCCACACTTTGGAAATTACTCATATCATCCACCACCTTATCCATATCAATATCAACAATTTACATCTCAATCAACTAACCCCATTATGCCTCATGGGGCTCAAATAGGTAGTAGTGATGCGCAACCAAATGATCAAGAAGATGAAACACCACAATTTTGCACTCAAGGTAGCTTAGAAACAGTTAACCTTGGTGAAGAAGTTGCATCCGTACGTGTTGTGAGTACGCATAAACAAAGGTTCCAACAAAAAGAGGATGAAATTCTCATTCAATCATGGCTCAATGTTTCAAAAGATTCAATTGTTGGGGTTGATAAAAAAGGAGATAGTTTTTGGAAGCGGATCGGTGAAGCTTACAACAAGCATCGTGACATTAACTACAAAGAGAGGAAACCGACGCAACTAAAATGTTGATGGCATAAAATCAATCCATATGTTCAAAAGTTTGTTGGATGCTACAAACAAGATGTGTCTACACAACAAAGTGGGAGTTCCGAGAGCAATATCATGCAAGCTGCATATAAAATCTATTTCCAAGATGAAGGTGAAAAGTTTACTTTTGAAGCTGCATGGAGATTATTGAAAGATGAACCTAAATGGCTCGCAGGTTCATCAGAAGCTTCTACAAAAAGAACAAAGAATTCAACTTCAGGAGCATATTCTTCATCTTCTAATCCACAAATGAGCAGCGAACACGATCCATCATCACCTACTTTGTCTCGTCGTCCAATCGGTCAAAAGGCAGCCAAAAGGAAGGAGAAAGAAAAGCTTATGGAAATGTCTTCTACTCCCAATGTCAAATATGATTCTTTGAAAGATGACTTTAAAAAAAAATTTGATCTGATGTCAATGTTTGCATGGGACTATGCACGCATTGAGGGTGAAAAAGTTGAGATAGAGAGAAAAAAGGTTGATGCAAAGATTAAGAAGGCTGAGAGTGCTGAGGAGAGATTGAAGATGAATGATCTGCAAATACTCTCAAAAGATACATCAAATATGGATACAAGACAACTACAAGCTCATGATATGTTGTGCGACATGATTAGAGAAAAATATGGACTTAATTAGTATGATTATGTATTTTAGGCTTAATTAGTAAGATTATGTATTTTCGGCTTAATTAGTAAGATTATGTATTTTGGGATTAATTAGTAAGATTGTGTATTTTAGGCTTAATTAGTAAGATTATGTATTTTGGGCTTAATTAGTAAGATTATGTATTTTGGAATTAATTAATATGGACTTAATTAGTATGATTACGTATTCAAAATCAAATTAGCCGTTATTCAAACTAGTCGTTATTCAAAGTCAAACTAGCCGTTATTCAAAGTCCAACAAGCCGTTATTCAAACTAGTCGTTATTCAAAGAAGTCTTATAAATAGTATTAACATCTTGCATTTTTTACAATTTCTTATCATCTTCTACTAAATATCAAACTTCTTTTCACATGGATCCTTCCAATCCTTCCCACATTGCAAAAATGTTTATGGATTATATGAATGATGACATGGATGAAGAACTTGTGAGGTTGTTTATGGAAGAAGAAGCCCCGAGCTCTAGAAGGCCTAGGCGTCAAAGAAGGAATATAGAGAGGAATCATGAAGAGGGACATGAACGATTGTTCAAAGATTATTTTTCAGAAACTCCGGTATACACAAATGAGCAGTTTCGTAGAAGGTACCGAATGCATAAACATGTGTTCCTTCGTATTGTTGAAGCTCTAGGTCAACATGATGAGTATTTTCGAATGATGGTTGATGCAACAGGTAGGGCAAGTCTTTCACCATTACAAAAATGCACTGCTGTTATCCGTATGTTGGCATATGGAACATCTGCTGATAGTGTGGATGACTATTTGAGAATTGGTGAAACCACGACACTAAAATGTGTTGATAAGTTTACACGAGGAGTAATCAACATCTTTGGTGCACAATATTTGCGAAGGCCAAACGCCGAAGACATTGAACGCTTAATGCAAATGGGAGAGGCACGAGGATTTCCAGGTATGTTAGGGAGCATTGACTGCATGCATTGGGAATGGAAAAATTGTCCTGTTGCATTGAAAGGACAATATGTTCGAGGCGATCATGGGAAACCAACTGTTATGCTTGAAGCAATGGCTTCACATGACTTGTGGATTTGGCATGCATTCTTTGGGGTAGCGGGTTCAAACAACGATATTAATGTGTTGAACCAATCCAATGTCTTCAACAATGTTCTGCAAGGACGAGCTCCCGAGGTTCATTATACAATCAATCGTACTGAATATAACAAGGGCTATTATCTATCAGATGGTATTTATCCTGAATGGGCAACGTTTGTAAAAAGTACCCCGATGCCACAAGGGGATAAGAGAAAATTGTTTGCCCAACATCAATAAGGGGCAAGAAAGGATATTGAACGAGCATTTGGAGTTCTTCAATCCCGATTTGCGATCATACGCAATCCAGCACGATCTTGGCACTTAGACACACTCCAGCGCATAATGAATACATGCATCATATTACACAACATGATTGTTGAAGATGAACGTGCAACATATGATGGAAATTTTGATTTTTCTTATGATCATTTGAGTAATGATGCGACAATATTGTCGAATGATTCTAATATTGATTTTCAAGAGTTCATGCGTAGAAGATTTGATATTCGTAATAAACAAGTTCATCGACACCTTCAACAAGACTTGATAGAACATATATGGCAACGTTATGGACATGAGAATAACAACAATTGAAAAATATTTTAAATATATATTTTTATTGTATTTTGTGCTAGTAATTTATTTTAATAATGTATTTTTTAATGTATTTTTTAATTAATTATTTGTGTGATGTATTGTGTTTTTTAATATATGTATATATATATATATATATATATATATATATATATATATATATATATATATATATATATATATATATATATATATATATATATATATGTATATATATATATATATATATATATATATATATATATATATATATATATATATATATATATATATATATATATATATATATATATATATATATATATATATATATATATATATATATATATATATATATATATATATATATATATATATATATATATATATATATATATATATATATATATATATATATATATATATATATATATATATATATATATATATATATATATATATATATATAAAATTTTATGGATATATTGTGAGATTTGGTGGGACCCATTTTAGAGTATTTGATGAGTTGTATAGATATTTGAAAAATGTAGTTGGGTTGTTTAGAAAATATTGAAGTGAAATATAATATAAAAAATTGCGTGGACCCCATCTAAAGAACCAAAGTGAGAATAATGAGTGTGAATGCTCTTAGCCCATATCACTTCCTCATTCTTTTGGGCATAAAGAAATTCATCATAAAATAATTTAAAAAAGTGTAAAGATAAAAACTTTTTTGTGCAGTTATTAAAATACAATGTTACACAAACTATATATTTAATATAAATTTTGATTTATTTTCCTTAAATAATTTTTTATAATTAATCTAAGTCTTTTTGTTTTGTTAAATTAGGACATTATTTTGTGCAGTTACTAAATACAACGTTACACAAACTATTATTGCATTATTTAATAAAATATTTATTGTTTCATCTTTAAAATATGTATTCATATTGTTAAATTTTTTATAATAAAATTCTTTTTAAATGAAGAAGTATTTTGATTATTATTTCTTATGAAAAATTTATTTTGATTATTTTTTACGAAAATTATTCTTATGAAAAAATCATTTTTAAAAGGTGTTATTTAAAAAAGTATGTAATTTTATGTTAAAATATCGTATAATGAATATCTAAGTTAGTAAAAGTCAAATTACTCTTTCAATTAATAATAATTAATTTTAAAAAAATTTAATCTTAAAAAAGTTGTATTTTAAAATTAAAAATTAAAATCACTCTCAAAATTTGTAATAAACAGACTTTATACTATATTGTTGAAAGATCTTTTATTATATCAGTTATGGTTATCGTTATATTAAAAGGCTTTGATGAAATTTTATTACTTCAGAAAATATTTAAAAGGCAATCATATTTATATTATTATACTTATTATGGTTATTGTTATATTTATTAATAAACTTGAAGTAAGTATTTAGAAAGGAATTTTTTCATTGATCTGATCATTACAATGATTATGTCGAGATAAAATTCATTTTGATATTTTGATTATGAAATAGTATTTAAAATCATTCTATTAAAAAGAAAATAGAATATTCTAGGCTAGAGTATAAAAAAAAACTCTTTAATGGGATTAGTGTAGTTCTTCACTATCAAATAAGATTAGATTTTCAAACTAATAGCAAAGTTGTAATTCTATCTCCATTCAAGAGGATAAGAACATAAAGAAATGGTTGTTATGTATTTATGTTGTGTAATGGAGCAACAAGTCGTCTAGTTATTTACGTTAGCGTTTAGATGTGTACAATAGTTATTTATATTAGCGTCTAGACGGACACTCTTGTGTTTGTCTGTCCGCTTTTTTAATGCTCAAACGTTTAAAAATATAAACGTATTTTTTGTGTATTTATTTTTTAAATTTAAATTTTATATAAATTTCTTTTAATAAAATAATTGTGCAAAGTATCATATAACGGTTAATAAAAAAAAAGTTAATAAAGGAGAAATTAAATTTTAAAACAAAAGGGTATAATTGAAATAAAAATAGGTTACACCAAATCCAAATTTTATCTTTATATATGTTACCTATACAATATATAAAGGAAATACTTTTTTTTTAGTGTGACTTATTTTTCTACCATTTTTACCTTTACTTTATTATGTATTTTACTTAATAACTTCTTATTATTAACTTCCACGTAACTTATTATTAACTTTTACATATTGTATTTTTTAAAAATTTTATTTAAACAAAAAGTATCGATTATATTTACATTCATGCACATTAAAAAAGCGGACAGACGGGCACACGAGTGCCCGTCTGGACGCTAGTAGATTAATAATGGCAAAACTGTGAATAACAATTTTTATCTTATAATTACAAATATGTCTAATCTTTGCTAAAATAAAATTTTGATAAAGAAAATGTTAGGTGAAGAATATTAATATTATTTTTAGTGTGAAAAAGGAAAGAAGCGATATAAAAAGAGTGTAAACACATAAGGAATAGTTCAAAAAGATGCATGATCCAAGTTTTATTCTGTAAAAGTTTCTACGTATTTTCTAATTCCTCTATACTCAAGTTTCCTTTGGAGAAAATTGGGTCAAAGTCATTAGTTCAGTTTTTATCTTTGTTTTCATATTCAATTGTTTTTCCTATTTCAATTGTATTATTATGAATTCAATTGTGATCATCAAACTTGCTTTGTCTGTCTTCACCATGAGTGAGCAATCCATTAGGGAC